AAGGGCAGAGTGGAGTTATTATCCCTATTTCACAGAAGCAGAACTGGGGTCACTTGCCTCAGCTGAAGTCCCAATCACCTCGCCTCCAGCCACAAGCCATGTATGCAGAGTGCTGCTCAAATTGACATCCTGCAGTGGGGACAGGCATCCCTCACAGAAAAGAGGGACTCAGCTGGGGCTGCAGTCTGGCCTACTGCCATCACATAATGGTCTCCCATTTCACTCCCCGTGCCCTGAGGACTGCATCTGAATTACAGGGAATATAATCCAGTTCACTTCTTTTGAACTTTGGCTGCCCCATAGCTCCCGCAAGAACAGCAGCAACAGAGCAGGCAATGAAATCATGTCTGTTTCAAGTAAATGGAACAGGTGTAATTTGGATTCCATATACAAATCCCAAACGACTTGTGGACTTAACTTGAAAACTGGCAAAATGCTTAATTGTGTTGTTGAATTGAGATCAGGGAGAAGATAAACCGGCTTCATAGAGCCAATGAGACTTTCACTGCTGACTTTGCTGGGTCAGTGCTTGATTCCAAATGAAAAGAGAAGCTTCTTCTGTAAATCAGATGATCCTTTACAGGATCTGATCTAATACTGAAAGAATTTGGAAAGGCAAACAGAAATTCAGCTCCTGGTGAACTTGTAGCTTCAAATGACAATAAAGAAAGGAGTGACACAGAAAACTGAAACCCCATTGCACAACTGGTCTCTAGGAAAATGAAGACAATGTGGAGTACCCAACATGCTGCCAGAAGAGAAGCACAGGTAAGTCCCATCCCCAGGTGGCTGCCTTGTAAGTACTGGGCACTTTTCTGCTCAGAAATTATCAGGTTCATAGAAATTAGAGATGATTCCACCACACACCAGCTTCCTTTTTTCCCCCCTCCAATTACATAAGTTAATAATGTTTGTGATTACACTAGATGGAAAAAAGGCATTAGCACAAAAGAATAAAAACATGCTCTATGCAAAGGTAAAAATTCATATGGTCCCTGCTTTGCTACAGCAAAATGAGGAAAACTTTACCATGATGCATTAATTTATTGAAAAATACAAGTGTGTTTTTCCTGGATGCTGGCTTTCTAGCAGATTTTAACATAGATGGTGAAGCAAATGCCACCCTGTATACAGCAGTGATCTCATCTAGTATTGTCAATTAGAGCTGCAACATCAACCCTTGATATAGTGAGGAACTGGCAAAAAAAACCCGACAGCAACCTGTAATTGCCTGTGCTGGGAAAGAGTAACTGTGCACCCTGCAACCCACTCACTGCAATATCCACCATGAACGAGTGGCCATAAAAATGGGGCAGGTACCACTGGATTGCCTATTGCTTTCAGCAAATTGGAAATAACCCACAGAGTGATGTTTTGGTTGATTTGTTGGTTCATATCAGTCTGTGAAAACAGCTTAAGTTGTCCGGCTACGACCCAACAGCTCAGCCAGGAGCCAGAACTATCAGGGTAGCAGTGAAATATGAGGAAAACACAGAAATTGCTCTGGTAGGAGAGGTCTGATCCAATGAGGTGAGGACAACCCCAGCTCTAGGAATGTCAGTAGAGCAGGCAGCTCCTGGATAGCTCAAGAGTTTGCATTGTTGCTCCTCTCTCTGCACAGTAAAGCTCTACACAAAGGAAGAGCTGCTGCTCCTGCATGAGTTCAAACTGCACACCACTCAGAACAACTGCCTGTAATCAGTCATTCTGCATTTTCAAACAATTACACTGTCTGTGGGGTTCTGAGCAGCGTTGGCATCAACATTTTGAAGAGGGGAAAAACCTATAATTTAAGTCTTTCACTGAGTCAGCTTTTAAAGTGATGCCACTTCGGAAAACCGGCCTACAGAATTGTATCCTGTTAATCACTCCCTAGGTATTTCACACCCTTTGCCCTTCTGAAAATAAGGTTTCCCATCTTGCATACAAGAAAAACAGCAAAAAACCAAAAACAAGAAAGCAAACAAAATTAAAAGAAAATAAATTGTTTTCCAATGATATGTTTCAAACTAAAGTAATACTATTATTAAAAATTCCTAATTTAAACGAGTAAGTGCTTGTAACCTTCAAATGAAAAATAAATACAAGAAATATTTTCTCCAAATATTTCTGTTTAGCTGAACTCAATTAAAGAAAACATTCAACCATTTTGACATAGTTTGTATGCTTCTCCCCTGAGGCAGGGCTGCAGACAGAAGAGGAATTGTTCCAAATACCCATCAATCCCCAGAAGGCAAGGCCCAGCCATATAATTAGACATTGAGCAAAAGGCTTATTTCTTTCTTCTTTCTATTTATAATATCTTTTACATAAATCCTTGGGTCCTTACTTAACTTTCATTGAAAAGAAAATGCTTGACATTTTCCCCAGGTACCTACTGAGCAACACTGAATTAGGACTTCAGGCTGTGACACACATACACCACTGTCCCATACATAAATATGCAAGTGCCACATCCATAAATATCAATAAAAGGCTACTGCTTGAAACAGAGATAGGAAAGCACCTTCCAGCATAAGCCCAAAAACATAGATCACCAAATCCTCTCCATCTCTTTGAGGACTTTTGTCTAAATAAAACTGCATGGTAACCTCTGACTTGCCAACTGAGTTTTAGAGACCAAACCACGAGGATAGGAAAACCCCTTTTCAAGATGTAACTTGAGAAAACTGCTACAGGCTGTTCTAAATAAAGAACAGGAGTACTTCCTAAAGCCATAGTTACTAAATTGCCATCCTCCCACAGGAAAAAACGGAACAAAACAAAACCACATTATTTTTGTGCTGTCATAGTCAGGAATGTTAGCAGAAGTCCCCCTCACCATCCCTGCAGTTTTGGACCTGGAGGATGCAAGAGATGCTCAGCTCTCTCGAGATCATTTGGCAACAAAGTCCCCACCTTTGCCACGCAGTGCCAGGGTTTGCTTTCCCTTTTCATGCCAGCTACCTGCCAGCCTGGGCTAAGAGCAAAAACCAAATGCTGCAAAGCAGGACAGGGGTGATCTGAGCCAAGTATGAGATCCAGGCACTCTAACACAGATTTACTCCAGAGTAATCACTTAATCCTTCTACCTCAGTCTTTCTAACTGAAAAAAAAAAAAAAAAAAGTAGCAACTATCAATCACCTACTTTGTAGGTCATACATTTGCAAAGCCCTCAGGGAGATGAAAAGCATTATACAAACTATATGCACACATGTTAACGCTGATTAATTTTCTCTGTGCAAACATACCCTTTTTTCTTCTTCATTGCTCCTCCTCTCATTATATCAGCAGTCTCATCTGGAGGAGGACCAGGAACTGCTGACAGCTGAAGTATTTTCCGCAGTTGTTCTTTTGAGATTCAGAAATGCAACCACTCAACACAGCCCTGTGTTCAGCTGACTGTTTCCTTAATAGCTTTGCTCTTTCATGTGTTTCCTCATTTTCTGTTACATGAATTTAAAGCAATCTGATTTCCAAGTTAATTTGAAATGATGCAGGATCCATTAGTTGAGGGTATCATTTGCAAAATAACTCTGAGAGACAACTTTCACTCACTATACTTTCAGGTATACCCTCAGCAAACAACGGCAGGGCTAGTGATGCAAATAAAGTCAGCAGAATTTGACCTAAAAAGCATGTCTGTGTAAAGAGGCACGGGGATACAGCCTAACTGCATAAGAGCCTTATAACACATGCAATAGCTCCTCCACAGCCTGAGGTTTACGCCGATGAGCAGCCTGTTTGTCACAGTGCTTACACCAATCACAATCAGAATATATACAACCTTTCAAAAGACTATCTGTAAGCATTTTTCTTAGAATGTTTGGATGCACAGTTTCTGAGGAATAGAATGTAAATATTCTATGGAATAAAACTTCTGTTTCAGTTGTCACAAAGTAATCCAGGGTGAAACTGAGGACTTCTGTTTTGTCATCAGCCCTTCAATGGCAGTTCCCTTTAGATATAACAGAGGCTGGCCCCCTGCACCCAAGGGTAGATTTGGCATTTCTAACTTGCAGCATCCAAGATGCAGCATCCACTTATGCTCATGTATAGAACAAACTGTACTGGCACAACTTTCCCAGAGATGTTGTGGAATCTCCCTCTTTGGACATATTCAAAAGCTGTTTGTACCTGGTCCCAGGCAACTGGCTCTGCTTGCCCAGGGGATTTGGACTAGACGACCTCCCAAGGTCCTTTCCAGCCTAAACCAGCTTGTGATTCTGTCAAATGGAAAACTGTCCGGTGCATCTTGGATGAATGGCCTCTGACTGCCACTGCAGCCTCTGGTCTGGATACTGTGGAGATGTCACAAGCAATACCTCAAAGCCGTCCGTGCATAAATGCAACTGGAAGTACCCAAACAGCTGAAGTGACAATTGTTAGAGGCTGGAAGCTGAGGGGAATTTCAGAGCACCAATTGAGGGATGGAGAAGTGGCTGGATTTTCCTCCTCCTGTTCAACAAGTGTGAATCTGCAAATCCCCACTCTTAGATGTGCATGCAGTTAGCAGCTTACAGGCAGGAGCCCACGTGCATATTCCACAACGGAATCCAGGAGCCTTCTGAGACATCAAAGGTCTCCTTTGTATTTACTGACCACCTAATGGAGTGGGAAAGCTGAACAAGAACCCAATAAAAACATGACAGGCTAACTTTCCAGCTACTGCCTTTAAGGTTAAATCATTGAAGAATTTAACTTGATAATGCTACCAAGAAAAAGAGTCTTGGAGGACAATCCTCAAGAAACATCTCTGTATTGAGCTGTGTCAAGCACACCAAAAAAACTGCGTTTAAAAAGAAAAGCAAGGATTTTGAGTAGCTTTGCTCCTGCCAAGCAATCTGCTCTCAGCTGACTATAAAATCTCTCATGCTGTAACACCAAAACTCCCAGGCAGAGAACACACTGACTTGCAATATAATGTTTGAAGTACTTAAAAGCATAGAAGCAATTATGCCTGCTTTCAGAAAATGAGCTGGTGATCTCATTAGAAAAAAAATTCAATTTCAGTAGTTACCTCGGCATGTAAAGGACTCGCTCTGCCACCACAAATCCCACCCTGAAGAAGAGGTTGCTGGCTGGGATGAATGGGAAAACCAGGAACAACAAGCCAACCAAAACTTCTTTGTGTTCCAGTTTCTGCAATAATACAAAATTAAACAAGTATCAACTAAAAAAATCCAACTTAATTCACCTCTAACTTTTCCCTTTCCTTTGAGGGTCATTAAAAAAGCAACTCAGATTAACATTCGGCATGTTTTTGCATTTAAAAGAAATTTTTACAAGACGCTAATCTCTGATATTTACGCATTCCTGGTACATCTAACATGCCCAGAAAGTGAACAAATATTACCCACCGTGTCTATTATTACCCTTGGTATCTTTTCCAAGGTCACCTCTACTATATGCATGGCACAGCTATCACCTAAGTTATAACTCATATTGGTACAATATAAGCATAGAATAGTGTGAATGTATACATTAGTGTGTCTATGACAGTATGGCTGTATGTAAATGCACAAATGCATATCATATACATACAGGCTGCTGTGTTAAATTCTAAATGTTTATAACAGAGAAAAAGCTGTTCCATCAGTCACATTTTGTGTAAAGAAAACTAGCCCTAAGTGACACATTAATGGAGTAATTTTATCTCTTTCAAGGAAGATATCTACACTTGAAACGATACTTTCACACACAAAGGTCTCCACATAGAGTCAGAAATTTGAGACGTGCTGTATGCTAAAATTAATGGTTTTCACTTGAGCTCAGTTAAGGCCCTCCACTTGTACTCACTTTAATGTTAGCTCACTCTTTGAGGAGAAATGAAATTACCACATGCAATTCAAACCAACTGTGATCCGTGGGGCCAACACAGACATCAGGGGCTGAAGTGGCCACTCATGCCATGGAGAGACCCAAGTCGCCTGAGCAAGCTAAATTTCAGGTTTAGCTCCACCCCAAGAGGGTAAATCAGCTCTTGCTTCTCAAAGAATGACACCAGGATAGAAGTGTAGCTTTAGGCCTGTTCAATCACCCAGGCAGACATCTGTGCTCTCCTAGCTCAGATGCTGCTTCTCACTGTTTGCAGACATCACGAGAAGCTTTGTCACGCTCAGAAACAGATGCAACCAGAATCATTTAATGGTTGAAGCACATTCTAATTGTTGTGGGTAATTTCTCAGTTTTGGAGATCAAATTGACTTCTCTTTGCTGGAGGGAGCTACATTTAGAAACATTGAACAAGATTTTTGAGTAGAGAAATGGAGCCAAATCAATGATGCGGGGCCAAGCAGCACAAACTGTCTTGCTTTTGCATAGCTACAACTACAACGGCAACAGCAGCTACCACTGGTCTAGACAGTGGCTGAAATTTAGAAATCCTACTACTAAAATATATTCAGCCTATTCTATGGGAAAGAAAACAAGTCTTTTCTATGGGTACCAAAAACAAGGCTACAAGTCAAGAGGCTCTGATGTTGCTTTAGAGGAGCTGAACCACAAGATCACAGAAAAGTGCACAGATTTCTCCTAGCTCAAATAGGAATCATAAGGCAGAGAGAGGAGCGGAATTCATGTCTCCAGACTTCTTTATCAACATGTGTTTAAGTAGCACCACAGTTATCTATAGTACTTCTATTATCCACCTTTTCAGTATCTTGGATTCACAGTTACTAGTACCGACATGCAGCCACAACAGCATCTAAAACAAAGTACATTATTCTCAGAACTGAAGGAGACATCAATCCATAAAGATGATGAGCAGAGGTGCCTGGTAATTACAACAGAAAATTGAATAGAAAAAAAAAATATTTCTTCTCAACTCAACTGAATTAAAATTTACTAGTTCTAGCTCAACTTCCCTCCCCACTCAGATCTGGAAATGTATTCAATTTTTCTCCTGCCATTTGACTCTCCCTTCCCACTTTGTCTGACCTAATTATGGTGCCACCACTCTATCCCAGGAGTTTAACACTGAAGACCCAGAGGCACAAGAAGGTATGTTGGGCCTAAGTGAATGCACTTTAGCAAACACAACGTTCTCAGTCCCCAAGATAAGCACTTGCTCTGAAACAAATCAGCTACCAAATATTTCTCCAGTTGTTGATCATTAAATCAATAATTCGGAAAACAACCTCTAGTTAAACGTCTCTAGGAAGGACACAGTGTTATTCCAGGATGCAGCATTGCAGATAAGCAAAGGAAACTGAATGCTAGAGAAAGACAGATAAAACTTGTACATCAAATGGGAAAGAGGAAAGTGTGGGAATTAGCTCAGCTGAAGGATCAAATGGTTCTGCATGCCCTTTTTATCCCTAGAACAAGTCACAACTCCATGCTAATGCCATTGGAGGTGCCAGCTCAGTCCCTTGGGCAGGGCTCAGAGACAGGAGCCCAGCACACACAAACCAGCCTCACAGAGCAGCAGAACTCTCCATGGTGCTCCTTATTCCTGAAACAAAAAATGTCTGGCAGTACCCTTTAAAAAGCATTCCATTAAGGCAGAGGCTTTTGGGAAGAGCTGGTCCTCGAAGGCCAGGCTTCAGCTGGTTTTGTGCTACATGTGGCTGTGCCTGTGAGCCAGTCCAGGGGTACAGAAACAGAGGGCAACAGGATTTCCCATTCAACACAAGCCATAGGAAATTCCCTCCATGTGTTCTTCTAAATAAAATAAATCCAACCTATACATAACCTGTTACATTTTCCAGGCAAAGAAATAAAAGAAATATTAGGACCATTTATTTGGTTTAGCTACTTCGGTCATATGATCCCACTTGAGACAGCTGAGCTTAAGGTGTCAGAATCAGCATCTTCCAGGTGCCCAGAGCATTAGTAAAAGCTTTTAAAGAGTAATAGGCAATTTTGTTTGTCTTCTTTTTGCCTTAAAATAAAATAGCTAGGACTAGAAATATGCATTCTTTTTACAGAGAGACAATTCCTTTCCTCTTAAAGACAGTACTTTCTTTTGGAAACACAAAGCTTATCTTTCTGTCACTGTAGTCTCTGGTGGGGGGGATTCAACAAACATGTTTGAGTTAACTTTAGAATGATTTCTCTTGTCAAAGACAAACCAATTTCAAATCAAAATGGCATTTGTTATAGTAAATAGCTTGGTAGGAAGGAGTAGTTTTGAAATTCACATCTAACTCATTACACTTAGGCCTTTATCATATTGTAACAAAAAACCCCACCAATAAAACAACAAACCAAACCAAAAATTGATTAAAAAAAAAAAAGCTTTCTAACTTTCTTTTCACAGTGTTATCAATGAACTAAAGAAAACTATTTCTCCCAAGGGCAATGCAAAAAAATTGTCCCACTCTCTCAAACACAAAATCAAAGAATCACTTCAAGGTCAAATATGATCAATACTGCAATAAATCTCAAAAACTGCTTCTTTAGCAATTTGAGGGAAAAGGAAGAAACTAGAATTTACAATTGAAGAGTTCTTTCCATTTTACTTATAAGATATATTCCTGAGCCATAAGTAAGTATTTGCTGACTACCACTAAAGCACAAGTCTTCTACAAGGCAGAGCCCTCTAAGTTTGATTGCAGGAGGTGCACAGATTACTTCAACATAACTGTCATAACTATGGACTTGCATAAGCCCACCACAAATTCCTTATTTTTCCCCTCGAGGAAGCATGGTTTCAGGTGCCAGGTCCATTAGGTCTACATTGTGCTGACAGGACTGATGTTCACATCACCTGGCATCTCCAAGGGCTGAGGCACTGGAAAGCAGAGCTGTGAGGACAGCATTTCTCCTGGCTGGACTAAGCTGCATCTCAGGGAAGACAGCAGCTGGGCAAGCAAATCCAAGCAAATTCCATTCTGTTCTACCTCTGAATGTTTCCCAAGGTGTTTATACATGCTTGCCTGTTTGATGAGAAGGCAATCAAATGGGTTTAATTCCTTCCTCTAATCGATTTTTTTTGAGAATGAGTCAAGTGTCACCTCTCCACCATTTAGATCCAACAGCTCCATGGAGTAAAGACCTCCTTCCTACCAAAGGCATCAATCCCTCTGACACTGAGCTCTGGATGGCCCATTGCAGACAGTGAGATGTTATGCTTGGAACACCTGACTGCGTGTGCAGAAAAGCTGCATCCAGGAAAGTTGGTAGTGCACAGCTGCATAAAAGCAATGATTGTATTACACATTTTCAAATGCTTGCAGATCTAGGAAGTAAGTGCATTATCCATCAAGAGACACACAGGCTCAAAGAAGCTGCATGACTCTCTGCAGACCACAGACAGAGGATGACACTTCTTCAGTTTACTCCTACAAACCCTTAGTGCAGACTGCACAGAACCCTACTTCATCTATTCCTGCTGTACCATTCTCTCATGAAGCCACAGGTGGCTCAGCAATGTGACTCCTCACCAGCCTGCATTAAACCACTGGCAGCATCTCACCTGGCAAGAGGTCAGCATCTGCAAACACCCACTCTTGCACTTTCCACATATACAGCATTAAAGATAAAAGGGATGGTGTAGAAGCATGTCAAATTCACTCTCTATTCATGCAGAAGGTGATAAAAAGAAAGCATTAAGCTCATCAGGAATTAACTCTAGCGATTTATTCCTTCAAAGGAAAAAAAGATCTCTGTGGTTGTAAAGTTCACAGAAGCACTGGGTGTTTCCAAGTCCCACCTCACTGGTGAGCACACAGATGGGCCATGGCAGAGCTGTACCATGCTCCACGTACCATCAGCATGGTCTCCTTTAGGTCACCAGCAGAAACCTGGATGGGACACAAACATCTTTATCTACTGTGACCAAAAAGGAGGGCACTGTGGAGCTGTGGTTGTTTCACTCTGCTGCCTGTGCTACTGCTTCCAATCATGCCAAAAGTTGGGTGTCAACAGATGGTCCGAAAAACTCAAGCATTTGATAAGTAAAAGGTAACTTACCAGCTTCAAAACTGGCTCAGACACATCTTAACTAGTTTGCTTCTAGGAAAAGAGCCACAAATTCTGTAGTCACTACGCTTTATTAGGAGTTTTATTTTTTCATCTCATTTAAAAAAAAAACCAAACAAACTAAAAATCAGCCTCTTCAGTAGCACTAGCTACTTGAATGCCAGGCTTAGTAACTCACTCATTTCCTAAAAGAACTGAATTTTTCTTGGTGATCA